ACCTAATATCAGCCACCACCACTCCTTTCGCGTCGAGCTCAAGAACAATATCTCTATGACCCAAATTAAAAGCAAACATCAAACGTTCCTTTTCTGCAGACATTTCAGCGGCTTTAACCGAGGGCACTCCTGCATTGGTTTTAATTCAAATTATTGTGAAAGTATTACTTTTTAAAGCTGAAATTTATTTTATTTTTATTTTTATTTGTTTGTGAATGTTCTACGGTAGGTTTTGACATACCTCCTAACGTCATCGCTCAACGCATCATCATTGACTTCTTGAGATATCCTCTTGTCCCATAATGCATGTAGTTTGGAGTCGTTGTCGATCTCTAGCTTCTTCTGGCACCCAGTGGTGGGATCCGTAATGTTAAACTTCATGTTTGCTTTGCCGCTGGCAGGTGGATGAGAGAAATGCTCCGCTTGCTAAACCACTCGAATTCGACGAGCTTCTGGCAACTTGTTTCTTGAAATTTATTGGCTCAACTAATTTGATTGTTTTACTTCAACTAATTTGGTTTTCGTGGGCTAGATAATCATTTCATATAAAACTATATGTCATTTAATAATATATTTATATGTGGGATGTATTCAACAATATGTGGGGTGCTAATAAAAAAAACGTTCATTTTTTTTATTAATAATACATTATTTAATTTTAAATTTCATCTACAATTTAATTTTCCAAAAATTTCTCGTATGAAATTGGCACATGTGCAAGTTGAAGACGTTTGCCAGATGAACTTTACCAGAGATTTTTTAGTGTGATCGTCACATGAGGTGATACATCACGTATTTCTATATAAATAGTGAGTTATGTGTGTTAAAAAGTTAATAACTTAAAAATTAAAATTTTCCACCACTTGTATAAAAACATGTGGTGTATCATCCATATTTCCGTCACAATTAAAAATTTCTTGAACTTTACAGAGTAACTGTTTCTGTTTACCTGTCTTGCCCAAAATGCATGGCAATGGCAATGGCATGCACTTTTATGCACCCAATTATTATCTATTATTATTATTTTAAATGTCGTCAATGCTACCAATCATCTTTGTTTGATCACGTTTTGGCAAGTCAATATCAAGCGGTTGTGATCAATGAACAACTTCAGGAACTTCAGGGTGACCCACCCCAGAGTTGTTTTTTTTTTTTTTTTTTTTTTTTTTTTGGAAAGAGATCGTCTCTGAACATTTTTTTTTTCAATACGTAGGAATCAAGTGATCCAGATCTTTAAAATTTGATCCAACGGTAAAAAATTATTATAATTTTTAAAAGTTTTTACTAACTTCTTTGCTTTTAACTATTGAATCAAATTTTAAAAGTCCGAATCACTTTATTCTTAAGCTTTAAATCCTATTTTTTCTATATCTTCTATCTGTAGTCTGCACTGTCTGAATATTTTCCTTATTTTATTATGCAAAAAGAGTTGTGATCGACGTGTTAATTCGTAAAAAGCTTCCACTAATCCCCATATGATACATCTCTTTGGTTGACCTCAACTTTTCTTTACTGGATACAGAAACCATATGGCTATAACTAGAGGCATCAAGCAAATGATAAGTTAAGTAAATAAAATTCAGCTCTAACAATATAGGCAATTGAATTTACAAGTTCGCCTGCTTTGACTGTCTATATCATTAGAGATGATTAGTTGTAGTCGGGAGATATAATCTTTTTTCTTTTCAATTAGTAGGAAAATATAATAGAAGTGGGTTTTCGTATTTTTTTTTTTCTGTAAATTTCAATTTAAATAACTTAAAGGAGAAAAAAAAAATCAGAGCTTGAAATCATTTCTTTAAAAAGGGAGTTCCAATTGTCTATTCCCCTTCTCTCTTCTTTATTTTTAATATCAAACAGTGTTGATGACATTTTTATAGTGCAAATAGCAGCTGTATCAGGAAATAAGGAAAGGGTCAATGGTGAGTGCAAAATGAATAGTGTGAGCTTGAAGTCTCTTTTTAATAAGTTAAAATATATTAATCCTTGTGATAATATGGGAAACTCTAATTTGACTACTTGAAGATAACTAGGTTGGATTCAGGTACCCAAAAAAGGAGGCGTGTAATATCAAACCCGCATGTCCACATGAAACATTTGAAATCGGTTATTTTTGCTGATGGTATTGCGCACAAAATTCATACTAGTACGGATACTAGTTGGTCTGTTGTTAGTTTTTCTTTGGAGTTGGCATTGCTCGTTGTCAAAGAGGTCCTCATGTTTGATATATTAATTCAAGGTTTTGTGCGTAGAAGCTCTCATATGCTAATTCACAAAGTGCTCTTCCTTTTCATGAGAATGAAATTTCTTTGGCTTTGAAGTGACATCTCAGTCCTGAGTTTGGGTGTGAATGATTTCTAGGGTTGGATGCGTTCTTTTGCTTCTTCCCGGGCATGTCTTGCCCTCAATTCCACAAATATTGTGGCACTTAGTTTAGCCAATGTTTTGTTAAGGCCATCTCCAATGGAGAGGGATAAAGGTCCAAAAGCCAAAAAATAGCCTGATTTGTTCAAAAATTCATCTCCAACCGATGACTGACTATAATTCTACGGAGCCTACTAGGCCATTATTTGGCCAAAGGGACATCAGAGTGGCCAAATGTAGCCCCTCTTAACCCTTTCTTGAGGCCCAACTCCTCACTTTCAATAATTAATTCAAATTCAATTGCTAGATTTTAAAAACATCCACATTAGTTTAATTAAACTAACCAATAAAATTAAAGTATAAACTTAGTATCAATAAAATATTGAGGGTGCTATGTTTAATTTGAAGTATAAACTTAAAAATAATTTTTTGCATGGCTATAATTCTAGACAAGACTATATTTAGTCATTTCGATTGGTGATGGCCTAAAGTTTATTTGGATTAAGAACCTCTTGGATGTTATCTTGAATACCCTCATTGATATTTGTATAAGGTTTATTTTAACATTATAATGAAACCGTTGTTGTTTTTGTAAGTAAAAAAAAAAAGAAAAAAAAAAGCTGTGTAATAAAAAACCCACTTGTGCACATGGAACATTTAATTATATGAAAGATCAACGCTTAGCCATGCAATGCACATGTACAAGTGTGAACACTTCTCTTTTATGTTATTGTATATATAATAGTATTGGTCGTAATTATAATGATGGATGATTGCAATAATAATACTAATAAACGAAAATATACAATTAACAATGACATGCACCATAAAAGTATTATATAACAAGGATGACCGATAAACAAATGGTGGATAAGATCTTTGGCAACCATCTTCATTTCGAGTTCAAACCCTCTACTTCATTTACTATAAATTAAAATAGTGATATATAGCTTGTAACAAGGATAATAATAATAATAATATACGGTATTAATATCTAAAATAATATATATACACTAGGAATATGGTTTAGGATTTAGAATATTTGACAACTTAAAATATTAGTTTACATCTAAATGCATATATATATATATATATATACTAGGAATAAGGTTTAGGATTTAGAATATTTGACAACTTAAAATATTAGTTTATATCTAAATGCATATATATACACACACACACACACTAGGAATATGGTTTAGGGTTTAGAATATTTGACAACTTAAAATATTAGTTTATATCTAAATGCATACTAGTCACAAGATTATACTAGCTATATCCAAAGGCTTAAAATATTCGATAACTTAATAAAGTAAAACAGGAAAATGATTTTTTAATGATTCATGGATTTTAAGTTGGTTTGCTTTATTGAGCTATCAAATATTTTAAGCTTTTGGATCTAAACTAACATAATTTTGTGATTAATATGCATTTTATCCTCACTAGGGATGGGCAACAATTATTATTTACCCATAACCGTTTATGCTCATACCTGCATAATCGTTTACCTATTGGGTAATTGCCTAAACGGTTATACACGTACACGTAACCGTTTATAAATGGTTAACCATACCCATAACCATAACCGTTTAGTACCCATTGACCCTTTTTTAACCAGTTTATCCTTTTTTTTTTTTTTTTACCATTTACCCATTTTTCACCCGTTTACATGTTTTTTAACAACTTGAAAATTTAAAAAAAAAATTTGTCATAAATTTTTTTTTTACAGTTAAACACTGTTATAGGTACATTCATCATACATTTCCATATTTTAATTTTTTAAGTCTTTATACAATTTCAATAATTGAAATAAATAATTTACAGACAATATTTTTAATTGTTACCAATGAAGGTAATATAATATTTGCTAAGTATTCTTGGGTTACAAAAACTGTTTAGAAGACAATATTCTTGGTTACGAAAACTGTTTAGAAGACAATATTCTTGGGTTATTTAAAGTATTAACATAATATATATAATTAGCTACATTATATTATAATTAGCTATAGAAACCATGCACTATAGTCAATAGCATTGATCTAAGTTTTGTCCGATAGAGAACATGGTTTGTGTTAATTTCACATATATAAAATAAACGGGTAAATGGTTATCCGTTTATAACCGCAGTTAATACCCAAAACCAACTATTTAAATTTCACAGGTAAACGGTTATACCCATAACCTGTTTATTTATCTAAACGGTTACCCATATCCGTAAATGTGAAATTTAAATGAGCGGGTAACCGCGGGTATTTTGCCCATCTCTAGTCCTCACAAGTCCTCAAAACAACAACCTTACGATAGAACCATAGTAACATAATAGAGTCATGCTCTGCTAAGGTCCTCGTTTTGAGGATCTGTGAGGGCCAAATGTATATTAGTCACAAAATTATATAAGTTTAGATTCAAAGAATTAAAATATTTGACAACTTAAAAAACCAAAACAAGAAAATGAGTTTTCTATGAATTTTAAGTTGATTTTGGTTTATTAACTTTTTAAGCATTTAAATCTAAACTAATATAATTTTATGGCTAATATACTTTTGGTCCTCACAGTTCCTCAAAATGAAGACCTTAAGAGAGGAGCTCCAGTAGACCCATAGATCATGGAACAAATAGCGTAATAGAGGGATGGATGAATATAAATTGTCCTGGATCACTACTAAATACTAATTAAATAGAAGATACAATTAATTAAACTGTACTCCAACATCTCTACTACGTACTCTTTGGAAATATGTCTCTCCTCTCCTGCCCTCTCCAATCAAAACTACTCTCTCTCTTCAAAACTCAAAATTGATAACATTAGGATCTCCAGCTGTGTATGCATGCAGACGATATGAACTGCACCAAAACAAAATATAAAATAATTAGGAGGCCACCTTAAAACTTAAAACCCATACATACGTGCTTGCATGTATCGTTTTCATAAGAAAAACCAGTTTTCAAATCTCAATCTGAAAATTACAACAAAATAAGCAAAAATTCTACGTCATACGTACATCAGAGCTCAGACCAATATATATATAACGAGTTTCACGTTTACTTATCAACTGTTGAGAATCAAACACTTGACTCTTGGATCATCATTTTCCACACATGCCAAACTGAAACACTCTTCATCAGCTAACTACGTGCAGAGAGACAAAGACAAGGGTACTTCGGTCATTTCACACAAAGAGGGCAGAACGATCGACGCAGATAGTGAAGATCATAATTAGTACTGCTGTGGCTGTCAGCGGAAAATGCCTTGAAAAAACCACTCATTAAAACGACGAAGAAGAAGACGACCCACATAATCCTGTTTTTAAACTTCTCTTTCACAATTTGGACCATCAAAACAACACCATACAATCAATGCGTGCACCAAATTAGCTCAAGCAAGCATCGCCATCAGCTGCGAGCGTATATTTCTTTATTTGTATTTTCTGACAAAACATAATTAACCAAAAAAAAAAAAGGAAATAAAATATATTGATGCATGATGAAGGAAAGGGATGTCACAAAGGTGGGGGAATTGAAACCTCAGATGTTATTGATGACGGTCAAGAGGGGTACATCCCTCCCTGGCTGTGAAAAGACAATAATTCCCTCAAACCTAACCTAACTAAACCCCTTTCTTCTGAATCTACCCTATCATATCATCTATCTCTATGCAATAAAGAGTTTCATGAAAAATCAAACCCAAATCCTATGTCCACACAAATCAAGACCATCACAACATTCATAAATGCATAACCCTAATGCGTACAAGGAAAATGAAACTCATTTACACCCCTGCTAGAATATTAGGATGACGGTATTTTAAACTAATTCAGCACTATTGGGTAGTAAAAATCAAATCATCATAACATTCATAAATGCCCAACCCTAATGTACAAGGAAGGAAACTTATCTATATCTAGATAAATGCTATTGTAGCGGTATTTTAAACAACTTACAAATTGAAATATGTTTAATTATTCCATGTATCAGTGCGTTATTGGTTTAAAATACCGCCACATGCAAGATCATAAGTTCACAAATGCAAAACCCCAACAAACCCTTATGTGCAAGTAGGGATACTTATCTACATTTAGGATGTCAATATAACGGTATTTCAAATCATTCATGTACTAATATATTTTGGACGAGTGTTATTGACTTAAACTGCCGTGAAATTTGAGGTGCAAGTTGTGTGGAAGACCCTCAACAACAATTAGAAAAAGAAATTAACGAAATTGAAATGTATGGATTTTCATCTCAGAAAAAAGGAATAAGCAAAAAGGAAGGAGGAGGACGCATACCTAGAATGAAAATTAGTTAAATGAAAAAGCGGGAAGGCAGGGAAGAGCTGAAGAAAAATGCATCAGCAAGAGGGACCCACACTCCTACCACCGCCTTCCTCTCCCGGATCGGATTTTGCCTGCAGCTGGGGTTGCTGGGACTGCTGAGCCTGATGCTGCCCTTGCGGCAGTTGGGTTTGGAGCAACAGCTGAGACTGAAGCTGCAGGTGGAGGTGGGGATTATGGTGAGGCTGCTGCTGCTGAATCTGGTGGTACGGACCGCTATCAAACCCCAGAGCCAAAGACGGCGAAACGGCGTTGCCCAACGCTCCGGCCATCTGAGTGAAGCCGCCCACAGTGACCGAGCCAGGGGACGAGTCAAACCCACTGTTGAATCTCACATGGTCCTGCGCCTGCTGCTCCCTCGCTGCCACGGCCACCGCCAACTGCTGCGCCTCAAAAATCTGCTGCTGCTGTGGCTCTCGAATCATCAACTGACCGGAAGCAGCCCCAGTTGGAATGCCAATCATCGGAGACATGTACGGCGAAACGGCGGAAAAAGCGTTTCCTTGGAGCTGCTGAGCCATGTAAGTTGGCGGCTGGAGGATGGAGAGCATAGCTTGTGGGCCCATGTAAGTGGCGAGCTCCTTCTTGGCATTGAAAAGGTCGGCCTGGACTTCCTTGAGCCGCTGCTGAAGGATGGAAATGAGTCCAACGCAGCCGTAGACGGGGTCGCGAAGGCGGGCCTCCGCCTCATAGGCCAGAGAGTTGACGGCGTCATCACGCTGAGAAGCGCTGAGTTCGTTGAGGATCTTGGCGACATTGCTGGCACCGAAGACCTTGTGGACTTTGGAAAACTTATGGGGGTTGTCAGGTGGGAAGTAGGGCGCGAAGACGCACTCCTGCGTGCACTTCCGCCGTAGAAATTTGCACGCTGCGCAAGGAGAGTTTGACGACGACGACATTATTTTAATAAAAAATTAACCACCTGCAATACAAAAAAAAAAAAAAAAAAAAAAAAAAAAAGAAATCTCAGAAACCCAAAACGATTAAATTAAATTATTAGAAATCTTTCCCACAAGTCAATATTCGATAATTTGATACAATGCAGGAAAGACAAATGGACTTTCCACCAAGGACAAAACTAGAGAGAGAGAGAGAGAGAGGGAGGAGTGAGAGAGAGAGGGAGAGAGACTTATGTTGTGTAAAATACTCATTGAAATGTGAGAAAATCAGAGGGAAATGGAAAGGGGATTTTTCAGGGAAGCTTCACAGATTTTAGAAAGCAGACATGGTACCATATAATCAAACAGTTTCTTCTAACCAAAGCAAAGCGATAATATTATTAAGAAATATGATTTATTTTATTTTTTCAGAAGAAGAAAACAAAAACGAAACGAATCGTTTTGGAGTATCTGATGATCATCGAGTGTTGAAGCTTCACAAATTGCAGATACTGTCAGAAAAAAAAAAAAAAAAAAAGAAAAAAAAAAAAGCTTCAACAACAATGGCTTCCTTTACACACTGCACTCAGAGAGAGAGAGAGAGAGAGAGAGAGAGACAGTGGAACGGAAAACAATGAAACGAGAGCTAATTTGCTGTCAATTTTACCAGAAATGTAAAGGAAAACAGCCAAACGGCGTCGTCGAGAAGAAGCTCTCTCTCTCTCTAAGAAAACACTCCGCTGTGTTTATGTGTGTTTGCGTTTGTGCCTCACACACACACTCTCTCTCTCATTTCTCATCTCTCTCTCTCTCTCTAACTACTTCATATGTAAGGAAATGCACGGAAATCTCAGATCCGCGTAAACGACAATCAATCAGCAAAAACCGAATCGAAAAAAACGGCGATAAAAACCTCAAAATCTATGAATCTAACCTTTATTTTTACCTTCGATTTTTTACTTAATCAGCAGAGGTTGCTCCGATCACAGTCGATGGCTCCGCCCTCTCTCTCTCCCCAAGCCGTCAAAGTCCATCAAACACCTGCGATACGATACAGAACCAGAAACGAACACTGAAATCTTTGAAGAAGGACGGCGTTTCGCCGATAGGGAAAATGGAGATAGAGATGAAGGGAGGAAGAACAAGAAGGAGAGACCTGTGAGAGCGAGAGAGCGCTCGATCCGATCTTCGCAGGATCCCAAACAGAAGAAGTAGAGAGAATGGAAAAACACAAATTTTTATTATTTCGAAGATATGAGAAAAAAAATGAAATTAAGATTATATAAAAAGAAAAATGATGAGAGAGAGAGGAGAGAGAGGGAGGGGGGGCGTTACCACGGCGTAGACGCCAATTTTTTTTTATAAGCGTTATGTGACCGTTGGATTGGGTTTCGGGGGCTTTTTTGGTTTTTTATATGGTATACTATTACTGACCTTTATAAGGAAGGACATGTTATTCTGAGCGACCATTTAGTGCCTTCTGAGTTTCCTCTTTGTCCCTGTACTGTCTGCGTCAATTGTCGATACTACCCCCTGTTTGGACGCTTTGCTTGCCTTGGTTTTCAATGCAAGCCTCCTACTTACCTAAATACCCTTATGTATCTCTCTTTTGTCATGAAATTGTTTTATTAGGTGGTTCTTAATAAAAAAAAAATAAATTGAAGTAGGAAAAAATATATGTAAAGATAGTTAACCGACTTGGGGTATAACCAAGCTGGTTAAGCAGTGTGCTCCTTTTGATACTTCAGTTCGAATTCTAAAACTTTTCACGCTCTCGCGTAATTTATTTGGCTAGAAGTGCTCCCTTTTGTACGCAAATTCAAATTACGTCATCCCGCTTGCACACACACGTAACTTGAAGTTAATTAGAATTTCTCTAGTACAAGAAAAATTGATTATTTCTTATAGGTTCCATAAATGATAAAACAAAATTTAATAATCATTCCTGGTAAAAGTCATGAATAAATACTATGTTGTCACTAATCCCAAATTAATAAATTAATTGTACAGACCGGTCGCCAAACTAAATTGCAACCGATACTAATAGCTGGATAAGGTATGCAAATTTTGAATTTCAAATAACCATATCCATCATCTTTTTTTTATCTTTTTTTTTTTTTTTTTTTTTTTGTTGGAGAATATCACTTGGTCAGTTGGTTGATATTTGGCTTGATATGCCAAATATTTGTCAATTATATTAAATTTTCTAAAAGAATAGTGAACATAAGTTTAATAAGACTACTTGTATGGTTTAATTTTAAAATATTTCTCAAAAAGTACTTGATAATTAATATTGTTAAAAGTTAGTGTCTGGTACAGAAAGTCTATTCGCAGGCATACAAAGCAACACTAATAAGCAAAAACGAAATCATGACATGAAAACACACAACGAAATTACAGAAAATAAAAACTTTATTAGAAATTAACATTGTTCATCAAAATTTTAGCGTAAGCGGGGAGGCTAATAACCAAGTATCCATATTTCATATTACATATCGTTTTGGAACTATACGAAAGATCCGATGTGTATTAAGAGCCGATTTGGTGGGCTTCATGGAACCGGCTTTAGGGATAGGATTGAATTGGTTAGAACTTGTAAGACAAAACTTGTAACTCATGTATAAAAATAGATTAGATAACCCAATCTATTGTGCACTCATAACTAGGGATGCAACTCGGGCACGGGTTGGATGGGTTGGAAGGTTAACTCAATCCCAACCCAACTTTTACAATTCGAGCTCGGATTCAGGTTGGGTTTCATTCGGGTTCATTTGGGCTCGGGTTTAATTGGGTTAGGGTTTACTTGGGTTGGGTTCCAGTCGCCCAACTTGTTCAAGTTTAATCTTGTAACAACTTAGTTTCCTAGAATTCCTAAAAAAATTAAGTCAAGTAGCATCAAAGCTAGCTAACTTTAATTTCATAAATCAATCTACTATAGAACTTTAGGATTTAGAGACTAGGAATATGGGTTGACTAATCAAATCCTCTTATTCCTTAAAAGCTTAAGTAACTATAAAGGGTAATTTATTTTAAAAAAATATTAGAAAGGGCGTTAGTTTTTGGACTTGGCTCATTTGGGTGTAGTATGAGCATTAATTGATATGAGTTACAATCTGGTTAGATTGGGTTTGGTTAGTCAAGTTGGGTTGGGTTGGGGATGGATGGACAAATGATCAACCCAATCAATGAATTGGTTGAAATTCGGTTAGGTTTGGGCAGGCTATAACTAAAAAATACTCACTTGCTCGGGTTTAAAGTCGGGTTGGACATGGGTGAGTTCGGATTGGCCCAACCCAAGTTGCACCCCTACTCATAATCGATCATGTCCAATCCTATCAATCTCACATTTAACACAGTAAACAACGTACTGGACAAAAGAAATTTTAATTGATCACAATCTAGCCCATCGAACCTACCAAATAGTGCCTAATGGATCACAAGCTGGTTTGTGGCATAAATATTCATTTTCCAGTAGCAGCACGTTCGGATACCATGCATGTTAACTCTACCTAACCAGGGTAATGTTAAGGAGACTAAATTTTCAAACTAAAATATATGTCATCAATATAAAGTAAGCACGTTAATAATTCAATTATCAACACCACGTTATTTAGTTTACAAATTTTAGCTTAGAAATTCAGTATTCCTAGCATTATCCAACAGTAAATTTATCAAATTACCACTCTTCACTGTTCCCACACACTACTGCACCTTACTAAATTGACAGTTGTCAACCTGTCACTCTCAGCTGGACACCGGGGCAAAATGGTAAACCCACATTCCCAGCACATCGTTTCCCGATTCGCCTACTCATACTCCTTCTTCAACCTTCCTTGCAGGCATCAGCAGCGAGCACGAGTTACGAGAGAGTGGGATGGAAGGGATGACCTGCTATTGCCGGTCAGACATCAGTCCTCCTCAGTACGGCCAGAGGAAGGCCCAAGCAGAGTCGTTTTGATTGCCTTTTCCATTCATTTCGACGTGACCAAACCTTAAGCTTCATCCCGAGAACTGATGGGTGGTTGCATCCTCAGCCGTCAGGGACTGTCACCGCTACCGGCTAATCACGTCGCTCTCTTTGACCGCTCGGCCGGTCAATTAATTTATTTTAATTATTAATTAATTAATTAAATTAGTAGTAATTATGTTTTTGCATTTCGAGGCTATAAAGGTTTAAGAAAACTTCGAGTGTGTACGAGTCTATTCGAGTCAGCATGTGACCGACCCAATTACTATGAAAAAAGATTCTTTCTTTATCTTTTCTTCCTAATCTATCAAGTTCAGAGATTCAGATTATTGAAATTTAATCTAACGGTTACAAACAGAGACTCACTTTAAATATTATAATAACTTAACAATTAGATTAAATTTCAATGATCTGAATCTTCAAACTTGATGGATTAGAAAGAAATGATCCAGAGAGAGGATCCCTTTCCGAGTACTATAACCTTGTGTCCTTATTTGCGTCAAAACATGGCGCCAGGTGTGACTTCTGAAGTAGCTGTATGTAAGCTGGTACAAGAGTAAAAATTGCTCCTCAAAGTTAGGTGTGGATGAGTACGTGCTTCTTAATTTGGTAAAAATTGTAAAACACAAGCTTTGTAAAATTACCATATGCTGTAAAAAAATATATATGCAACCGACTATTTGAACTTCCCATGTGTAACAAATTGGCAACCGTATTCACTTCCATCTACTTTATTTTCTCTTGAATGACATGTGACAAGAACATTGACTATTTTACGTGTATTCTTGCCATTTCATGGTTCTATACCGAAATTGGTTGCAAAATCCCAACCTTTTTCCCTATGTTTTATATTGGATTTAGTAACGAGTAAGCACAAGTGTTGCTTACGATTGTGAACCTTTCTTGAGCACGAAGGAAAAGAGAAAGAGCTATTTAGATTGTATTTTCAACAACATTATTATTTAGAAAAGCTAGAAAGATACTGTTAACATTAAATTAGGAGTCTCAAAACAACAACAATAATAAGGTATCAAAACTCATTCAATTCAATAAAAACAGTTAACGCTCGACCAAGGCTAGTGATATATACCAACTGTAATTTTAAGCATGCAATGAGGAATTCATGTATATATATATATATATATATATTTTTTAAAACTCAAACTATATATATATAGAGAAATTGGTAACCGATTTTCATCAACGTGGTATGAACTACAAATTAAGGACGTCAGAAGTTAAGTAAACGTGACGAGAAGATTAATGAGTGGGGCCCACCAAGAGGGAGACAAGAGGGAGGGAGGGAGGGAGGGAAGAAGAGTAGAGATGGTGGTGGTGCGACCGGTACGTACGTACCACTGAACCGTGAAGGACTGCGACTGCCTCATGAGTGAGGTATACGGTACACTGCTATGCTAACGTTTATTTTATTAACACGAAACGTCACATATTGAATTTTTGTACTGTAAATCATGATGTGTTGTGTCTCGTTAAGCAATTGGTTGCTCACATACCCTTCATACTTCATCCAACCTCTCTCTGTCTGTATTATCCTAATTCATTTCCCTTAAAAAATAAGTGATCAGATTTTCTCTATTTTTGTCTTTTATTTCCTACTTTTCATCTTTTTAATTTTTCTTAAACGACAAATCAAATCTTTTTTAATTCTTCCAAATCCTTTTCGTGTGGAATGTAAGCTAACCAAAATATTAATTTATTTGTAGATTACCAAAGCTTAGCCATTGAGTCTAACATTACATATATTATCTTTGTATCTTTTTGATTTGTTGTGTGTACGCTTCGTTCGTAGTCATGATCGCTGTATGACATCATATCCGGATCCAAAATTTAATTTTCTCACAATCAAATAATTTTCTTCTTTTTGACAAAAGGAGAATTAGAGCAGATGATCTTCCAAGGATCTTTACAAACATGTAGGGCTCGTTTAGAAATACTTCTATAATAATTAAAAGCGATTTTGAACAATTGTTTTTTAAATCAATTTTTAGTAAAAATACAAGTGATTCTGAAAAAAGCACTTGAATTGGTTCTTGCACGAAGCACATAACTTGGTGAATGACTTCAAGTGCTTTTATAACCCAAAAACATTTTCTTTAAAAAGTTTTCAGTCATTTTAAAAATATTTCCTAACGAGCCCAAATGATGACATTGATTGAATACCTGTAAATCTCTTTCTACTTGAAAACTGAGTAATGTTGGGCCGGTGATACTCATACAAGTCCTCGTTTAAGACCATTGTTTGCACATGTACGGTCACATAAAATAAAGATTAACAGTAATTGTTTGCTTAATGCTATTAAGCTGCACATGCATTTATTAACTATGTGTTATCACATCAACACATGTAGATGAA